TTGTCCTTTCAATTTCAATTCTTAAACTCATCAGTTAATCCTTTTATTTTTATAATAGGCCTGTATTTAAGATGAATATTTACCATAAATTAAAAGTATCTTCTATTATTTGATATGTTATTATAAAATATGTTTTAGTTAAGGAGTTATTGATACTTCAAGTGCAAAATGATGATATAAAACCATGATAAAAATGCACTTTTAAGTACTAACTTTTAAGTACTAATCAAAAGCCTATAAAAAAATAAGATTATTATAAACAATGGTTATAAAATCAAATATAGGTTAACAAGAAAATTCTTTACATTGAAGGTTATTTTTCCACTCAATGTCAAATAACAATTATAGCTCTTATCAGACACAATTGAGGTGTCTAAAAGAATGATGAGAATCCTTTCCAGCTACTTTACCACCTCAAGGCCAGTCTCTCAAAGGTATAACCTTTCACCAATAATGGCCTTCATAATATATTTTTCCTCCTCAATTAAAATAGGAAAACTAAAAAGAGCTTGATTAAAAGCGAGGTTGAAAAAAATATCCTTAAACCTTTATTCTGGGTAAAAGGCCCAATAATTGTAGCCTCTACCAAAAAAGTTGAAAGTGGAGGCTGATGGATTACCATTATAAAAGCCTTTATAGTCAAGGCTAAAATACTAGTCTTCACGGGGGTGAAGACCTTCTTTTTCTTAAATAGGGCACCGACACCCACAATTACTTTAAAGAGGGTCAGATCTACTTAACCCTTAGGTAGGGGAGTACAACTACCCCTAGTTTTCATTTTTATGAGTGTTTTAATTCTCACCATTGTTTTTTTTTTTTAAGAATATAGTCATTAAGAACATAGAGTTTATCTATAATGATGGGGCTGTCCTTTATTTTTTCTCTAGTTTTACCTCAACTAACTCTCTTTTATAAACCTTACTAAAGTTTCCCCTTCTCATTTCACTGTTAGTCTTGCACAAAAACAAAGTCAACAATGATCATGGATGTACAAAAAACAAGGGATAAAGAAGCTGTATACTTTGTAACATAACATAATAATTCCCTTTTGTCATTTTGTTAATGTCATCCTCGGTTGAGGTCAAAGCTAAAGTAACACATGTTTTCTCCTTATTCGAGCTCAGATAAGGCATATTATTCACCTCAAAAAGAGGTACTCCCTAATAATAAGAATAACCTAAAATATGTTGTGTCGGATTTGGGATGTTACATATTGCATCCCGTCTCTGAGGCTGATTGGCCTATTATACCTCATTATTAGTCACCTTCCCTTTCATTTCTTAATATGAGCAAGTTTTCCCTATAGAACTCCATTCATGGCTCTTGTGGGTCTGTTGATATAAATAACCAATATATGTCATTACTATCATTGATGCTAGCAACTAGGTGGTAATAGGTCTTAAAGACATTAACATTAGGCTTAATTCTAATAGGCCTAAGAAACTTATCAAATACGAATAAGATTACCCACTAATTAGGTGCAGCTAGCCTAGATCCAGCTAGTAGTATCTAAAAACTTCCTTTATAAACCTTTGGAAAGAAAAGTTATACCCTAACAAATACATGAAAGAGGGGGTAGTAATTTTAAAGTGACTCTAGGCAAAGCTCAAGATTGGTTGGCTAATACACTCAACCTCAACAGACATTTCAACCATGTACTCTCCTAGCTATCAACCATTAACACAAACTCTATATCCTCTACACCAGGAGTGCTAAGGGCATCATCTTCGAGGGCTTGTTTTTGTTCGAGGGACATATATATAAGTACTTTTGGGTTGTTTTTGTTCAAAATAAAAAATAAAAAAGAAGTGCATCAATGTCAATTCAACCAGCCAAAGTACTTGAGTGATGCTGTCCACCAAGTCCACTAATCAATAGTTGGCCGCTATATCAATTATCAATTACCAAATGAATAGTTCTAAAATTTAGTATATAAAAGGAGGCATTTGCCATTCATTTAGGGATCTTGTTTTTTATATCAAGATCATGTTCTTACTCTCTCTCTTTATATTTTTGTAATACTTAAATTTTGCTTTTATTAATCTCTTGTTCATGCTTTTCATTTCTTTTACTATAAATCTTCACATTAATCTACATCTCAAAGTCCTCTTTAACTCATCTTTACCACTATCATCATCATTGTTGTTGTTCTTATTATTATTATTATTATTTATAATTTATATAGTTAACTTTTTTGAGGTTTGACCCCGGTCTTACCGGGTTATTTATTACTTTGACACTCCTGCATTTGGGATAAGACATCAACTCTTTGAGTGTGTCAGAACACTTTTATAAGGATTCTAGTAATGATACCTCTCCCTATGTTCGATTAATTTGTACTTATAACTCTGCAGGTACTGGTACTTTATTCTTTAACATACCTGAAACTCCATTCTTATCTATAGTCCCTTAAGCTTCATCTGAGATTGTGGATCCAACTCCACGTCAGTTCATCCGCATTCGTATGTCCACAAAACTACTAGATTTTGTCTATTTTTATTATTCTTCGTAATTTACTTTCTTTTTAGCTTATATTCTTTGTCTCTTTGAGCCCTCTTCTTATAAAAAGGCAATTCTAGATCTGCTTTTGCAGCAAACTATGAATGAGGAACTTTTTACTTTATATAAGATAGATACTTGGGATCTGGTTCCTCTACCTCTTAGTAAGAATGGTGTTAGTTGTCGTTGGGTGTATAAGATCAAGACTCATGCTGATGGGTCTATTGAGCGATACAAAGTTAGGCTTGTTGCAAAAGGATACTCTCAATAGTATAATATAGACTATAAGGAAACATGACTATATTATACTCAGCTTGATGTTAAAAATAACTTCTTGAATGGAGATCTTCAAGAAGAAGTTTATATGACACCCATTCCTGGTATTTCACATGACTCTAAACATGTTTGTAAACTTAAGAAAGAATTATGTGATTTCAAACAAGCACTCCGTGCTTGGTTTGAGAAATTTTTTATTGTGATCTCGTCTCTTAGCTTTACTTCTAGTAGTAATGATTTTGCTCTTTTTATTAAGTACACTGATGCAAGTTGTATCATTCTGTCTTTATATGTTGATGACATTAATGATATTTTAGTTTTGAAGACAAAGTTGGCTAAACGATTTGAAATGAAGGATTTGAGTTATCTTTGATATTTCTTGGGTATTGAGGTAGTATACTCACCTAGAGGTTATCTTCTTTCTTATTCAAAATGTGTTGAAGATATTCTTGAGCGGACTAGAATTACTGATAACAAGACTGTAGATACTCTTATTAAGGTTAACACAATATACTCTTTTTTTGATGGTTTACCTTCGATAGATCTTACTTTATATTATTGAGAGTTTGATATATTTTATCATTACTTGTCCAGATATTGCATATGTTATTCATGTTGTTAGTGAGTTTGTTGCTTCTTTTACTATTGTTCACTAGGTTGTTGTTCTTCGTATTTTGCGATATCTTCGGGGTACGGTTTTTTAGAGTTTTTTATTTCCATCCATCTCTTTCTTGGAGTTGCGTGTATACTTTAATGTTGATTATGGTAGTGATCCCACAAATCACAAGTTTGTTACCGGGTTTTATATCTTTTTATGTGATTTTCTTATTTCTTGGAAGAGCAAGAAACAATCTGTTGTTTCTCAATCATCCACCGAGGTAAAATATTGTGCCATGACATCTACTACCAAAATGATTGTTTGGTTACATTGGTTACTTGTTAATATGAGAGTTTCCTTTTCTCATCTTACTCCTATGTATTTGTGACAATTAGAGTTCTATTTAAATTGCTCACAACTTGGTTTTTCATAAACGAACTAAGTACATTGAGATCGATTGTTATCTTAATTATCATCATCTCAAATATGACACCATTGCTTTGCCTTTTGTTCATTCTTCCTTGCAAATTGTGGATTTCTTTACCAAGATGTATTCCATCTCTTGTTTTCATTTTTTGGTTAGCAAACTCTTGATGCTTATAGCTGCCGCATTGTGAGCTTGAGTGGAGATGTTAAATAATATTTATGCAGTTTTATTTATTAAGGGTAGAATAATACTTTTAGTTTAACCTATATATACTTTAATTGTATTTAGGTTAAGACTAAGCACTCATAATAAACAGATCATTCAGAATTCTAGCCTCATCATTATGTTTGATCTTAATTATTTTAACAAATAATACTCATCTCTGCACCGCTACATGTATAAGAGTTTTATTAGGACTTGTCATTTATCCCTATTAATGACATGTAAGATATATGTATTCATATATTAATACATGTGTCAGAGATCTCGTTAATGTTATCAGGGTAATATACCTCTCCAACCTCTTTTCTTTATAAAAAGACAAGACTAATGAGGTATAAAAATTACATGAATCTTTTAGTTAAAAAAGATTTATGATCTTTATTTTTTATCGTATATTAAAAAAAATATTTAAATATCAAAGAGTTCTCAAATTTACAAGAAAAGACTTTTTATAGGTATCGGCTACTAGCTATCTTAATAAAAAAAATATAAATCAAATTATTAAAATTAAAATTTTTTATTAATTATCTAGTATATAAATTATATAAACCTTTCTCCTCGGTTACTTAAAGTTTGTTTTGAAGCATCATCAAGGTGTATTTCAAATTAATACACGGGGAGGACCTCTCTCATCCACTGTATAATCAAGTCGAGAAATGTGATAAGGTGATGAATGTGAATATTTCATATAAAATGCAGATGATCTTATCAAACGCCATCGGAATTCAAATTTTTTTTTTTCCCTCTAATGGTCTCCAAATCCACAGACCAAAAAGAAGGAAGAAGTTTAAATACAAGCAATCCTTCCTTCAACAAATGAAAAAGTCAAGATCAATTAATCATAAAGGTCCATCAAGCAGAAATGGGAAATCCCAGTAAAAAGAAGTGGGCTCCACCTGTTATTTTGCCGCATGGCAGATTTTAACGGCAGGACCACCTAATTTCCCCTCTACCCTCAACCACTTCCACTTGCTCTCTCTTCTTCCCTCTCCCGGAAAACGCCTTCCTTTACTTGGCCTTCAGCTTCGGACTCCAAACCTAGCCTCGGACCCGAACCTCGGTTTTGTTCCTCTGTTCGTTGAAAATTTCGCTCACTATTTTGATAACTTTATCTCTCTCTCTCTCTCTCTCTGAGCTCTCATTCCTAAACCCTCTATCTCTCTTTCGATTCAAAACCCCAGATTAAGAAACTTTCGAACCCCTGGAGGATCGATTTGGAGCTCAAATTGAGGCGTCAACGTGAAAGTGCGATCCTAATTCTCTCTCTAGAAACCCTAATTTTCTCTTTCTTAAATTCTGAGTCCGTATATGAGCTAAGGTTTTGGTGCTTTACGGATGAGCAGCTCTATTGCTGCTTGTTTCTTTGTTTTTTTTGCTAAAAAAGGATTATCTAAGCTTTAAGTCTTGTTGTTTTGTTCTCGATCTTTTGTAATTTGGCTATAAATGTGAGGTTTTTATTTAAATTTAGGGTTTCGGGCATTGTCTGGTTGTTGATAGAAGAAGAGGGAATTGTTTTTTGCGTTTCGTTTCTGCTGGTTTATGTTTTCATTTGCTTGTTTTGTCTTTGGGCTTTGAATGTTTGGTAAGCATTTGTCTTCAAGTGAGTGAGAGAGAGGGATTTTCAATCTCATTTGGTTTGTTATGATCTGAATTTGTGTATCTTATGATACCTTCTTTGATTTCTAACATTGATACCGAAATTTTCTTGTGTATAAATAAACGTCAAAGCCATTGGAAAAATATTAGTTAGAGGTAAATTTGGCTTCTCAAAGTGGACATTTCTAATTGCTTTCTTCAAATAATTGGAAAAATATTGATCGACAGCCTCAGTGTTCTGGAAAGTGGCTTAAAAGACGTTCAATTATGAGAAGGTCAGTAATCACTATGGGAGGACTGCAAGCAACACCTTGCTCACCTGTTGCCTCCCCCCCTTTCTTTAAGTTTTCCAGTTCGAGGTTGACAAACAAGAAACTCCTCTAATCCAACTTCAAAGAACTCTTTGATTTAGCTCCCTCTTTTACAATTGAATGCTTGGCATCAATCCATATGGCAGAAAGCTTTCTATTCCACCTGCCCCCTTCGCCTGCACAACTGCATTCTGAGGGGGGAGGACATCCATGTCAATGAAGTTTACTGGGATTAGAATTTGGGAGGTTTCTGCTCACCAGGGCCCTTGGTTGAAGAGGTCCTTTTCCCTCCAGCTGATTCATCTCTTATGAATCAACGAAAAGAAGAAGCTCACCAATTAATTCCATCTTTAATTTGAATTTAAGCACCTCCTAGCGTGAACCGACAGAAAGAAGAGGTTCATCTTCTAAGTTCTTGCAATTTGAATTTAAGCTACTTGCTGCTGAAGGATATCTTCTGTAGGTTGCTTGAATGCACTTTTGTGTAGCAGGAACGCCCTATTGCCTTAGAAATTTATAGAGCTCTCCTTTAAGCTAGCAGTGACTTTTTGAAGTTAGATTTGTTGACAATGTCTGAGATGTTCACTTTGTTTTTTTTTTTTACACACGCACACACACACACACACCAAGGGAATATTAAATTCATACGGGTTTTGAGAAAGATTCAAGTGCCTGAAAACTTTTCATGTGTTGAGACTTCAGATTGGATGTGGTTGTTTCTGAGGATTTATCCTGAACTGCCATAACATTGACAGTTGATTAATTTTTCATGTTTAATGGCTCCATGTTGGTGGAAAGGGATGTGGTTGTGTTCAATATTAATTCTACATGGTATTCTTGAATTACTAAGTTCTTGATTGAGATGGATTTATATTTGCTCAGAAATGTTGTTTGACACATAGTGTGTGTTTAGTAGCATTGTGGTAGCTTTTGCAGCTACTGTTTGAAAACTTAGGCTTAAGAAAAGCTACAAATTTAGCTTTTTCTTAACCAAAATTTCAAGAGTGGGACTGTGATTAACCAAACACTTTCAAATCTGTGGTTGGGGCAAAACGCAGACTGTACTACAAAAACAAATGGAGCCATAGAAATCAATCTCATTCTTTTCCTTTCAAGCTTAGTGATATTGCATGAGCATCCAATGTAGGTCATGTAGACTCTAATAACTGGAGATATTGCATCCAATGCAGGTCTTTAGACCCAAATAAGCGGAGACATTTAATGTTATGCTTCGATGGCTGGTCATTACTTGCTAGATCTTTATACTTGGTTTTTCATGATGGTTTAGGTTCTTGTTTCATTTTGCATTCTCGACTACTGTCTTAATGTTTACTAACAGAGGAGAAAATACAGGCGTCATCACTAATTATCTAGAAAAAAGATATAAATTTGTATTTACATGAAACCACAAGAAATGTGCTAATGTTCCTTTTCAGCGAATAAGCTTGAGGTTGCTGTTTTCATTCATACCTTCCATTTCTCATTTTGTTTGCAAGTCATGTTAATTCCAGAAATTTAATTACTATCAGTAATAATCTTTGTGAAGAATGGACATATGGATAGATTTTAATTCTAGGGGATCAGTGTTGTGCACCTGCTTGTTTAACTGAGTGATGCACTACAAGATATTATTAAATTTAATATTTTATATGTATATTTTTAACTGTGAGATATCATTGTTTATGCAATTTATTAGGTAAAGCTTGTATTTTTTAAGGGTTGACTCTATTTGTATGGTACAGATATTCACCTTCAATGTTAGTAGTTCACCATCTCCTTAATCCTGAATAAGTTGTTTGGTTGAATGCATGTATTTGTAAAATGATCTCTGCGCATATGCACAACACACAAATATTATCCTCACATGTTTCCATTACTTCATTGTGATGCTCCAGATCTTGATTTTATGCAGAATGAGATTTGAGTGACTGGAATGTGGCTATTTGGGTGACAATTGATGAACCGAGAAGAGGTGTTAACATACTTGTACTTGTAAAGTTTTGCACAGTGAAGTTCTGTTTAATTGAATTGTTGGAATATAGAGTAAACTTGATTTCCTCTTAGGTAGCGAGTTTCTTCTGACAAAATTTAAGCTGCTGAATATCTGGTGGGGTGGGTTATCTATGCCTGGCAACGAAGTTGGAGATAGGATCCACAATTTCTTTGGGCAGGATAACTGGTCCCAGGGCCAGCACCAAGCACAGGCTGTTGATGGGACATGGAATGGATTAAATAATATTCCCTGGGCTGGAAGTCACTGGCAGATTGGCACATCTCTTATTTCTAACTTAAAAAATGACAATGTACATCAACCAGGTATTAATTATGCATATTGTAGTTTGTTTTTTTTCAGTGACCTGTGCTGTTTCCAGTAGAGTTATATCGTAATAAAGCAGGTGTGGTTTTTGCCATTTTATAATCCAAGATTATGGATATTATGGTTTGAAGTTATTGTGTGAACTAAAGTTTGTAGGCTTTATGTCATTTATCACTTGTTTTCTTTTGAAATTAGCTGATATTGAGAGAGGAGGTGAATCATCGAGTGTGCAGCTTGATATGTACTTTTCTCATTCAAATACAGGGCCTGAGTTTGCTAGAAGCCAGCCTGAAAGCCAACAGCCACCTTTGAATGGCTATATGCATGGTCATCAAGTTCTCCCATCAAGGCAGAATGAAGCAAGCTTTGTGGGAGTGGATATAGAATCTGATCGGCGTAATATGTCTTCAAAAGGCTTTTCAATGCTTGATTCACAGCTAGGAAATGGTCCTGATTTTCTTAAGAAGAATTCAGCCAGGATGGATTTTAATGAATCTCCAGTTAATTATGATTTTTTCAGAGCTCAGCAGCAAATCAGCAGCCAGCATTCTGGTATGCTGCAACCTTTTCCTAGGCAACAGCCAGGGATTAGTGACATGCAGCTGCTACAGCAACAATTCATGCTCAAGCAAATGCAAGAAATGCAGAGGCAGCAGCAACTTCAGAAGCAACAAGATGCTAGGAAGCTGAATTCAGTGAATCCGGTTTCCACTTTTGCAAAACAGGCAGCTGGCAACTCACAGGCTTTGATCAATGGAATTCCTATTCATGAAACATCGAATTTTTCATGGCAGCCTGAGCTTATGGCATCTAGCTCACACTGGCCGCAGCGAGGTGCGCCTCCAGTTATGCAAGGATCCTTTAGAGGACATATGTTTTCCCCTGAACAGGGCCAGGCAACCGCATGCTTAATGGGTATGGTTCCACAGCATGTGGATCAATCTCTTTATGGTGTCCCAGTCTCTGGAACAAGAGTCAGTTCAAATCAGTATTCTCCTGTCCAAATGGATAAGTCCTCAATGCAGCAGATATCAGGCAGCAGTAGCTCCTTACCAAGCAATCAGTATCCTGGATTTCCAGAGCAGGTTAATGTGCAAGATGGAACTTTGGTTTCTAGACAGGGATATAAGGGAAGAAATATGATCACTTCTTCTGATGGTCATGGTATAGATAGTGAATTTAATTTGGAAAAATTGCAGCAGCAAGTGAATCCCCAGCAAAGCAATGGGCTAGTGCAAGAAACTTGCTCGAGGCAAGACCTGGCTGGTCCATCAGAAACATCACAAGAGGAAACAGCTGTACAGGTTGCTCCTTCCCAGAACAAGGCTACCCTAGATCCAACTGAAGCTATGATTTTGTTTGGGTCAGATGATAATTTATTGGATACCTTTGGCAGGGGTGCTAGCATGGGTTCCGGTGGTTACAATATGCTGGATGGAACAGACTTTTTCAGTACATTGCCCTCTGTTCAAAGTGGGAGCTGGAGTGCCCTTATGCAATCTGCTGTTGCAGAAACTTCTAGTGGTGATACTGGGCAAAAAGAAGAGTGGAGTGGTCTGACTTGCCGAAATAATGAACCTCCAGCTGGGAATCAGCAGAATCCCACTGTAAATGATAGTAGCAAACAGCACTCAAATTGGGCTGATAATAGCTTGCAATCGGCCTCTAGCTTAAACTCTCGACCCTTCCCTGTGTCTCATAAAACCAATACAGGTATGAGTTATAATAATACACCAGGGGCTCATCAATCTGGAGTCAATACTTCACATGAACACAGTGAGAGGTTGCAGACTGGTTCTCCTCATACACATATTCAACAGTTTCCAGGGGATGGAACCAAGCTTTCAGATAGGAGCCTCCTACAAAAGGCAGCTGCCGAAGGCAGTCATTTTTATGGAAAAGCTACCCATTCTTCAGACGCAGAATTAAATGCAAAGAGCATTCAAGGCCCTTGGGCCAATCAACAGAGCATGCCATCTTATAATTCCAGTGGCCAACCATTACGTAGTCCAAGTGGCTGGAACTTCATGGATTCTGCATCTTCCATCACAACTGCTGCTTTGAAAAATCAGGGAAACGAAAAATCATGCCAAGATTCTCAGGCTGCTGATAAAAAAAGTCCCTTGTTTGAGGTGATGAGTCATGGTTCTGATAAATGGAAGGCTACTTCTGTTTCTAATTCAATTACTGAATTGGAATGTGCAAAATCTTCCATGAGAAGCCCACTGGTCAACAAAGAAGATACTAACCGGAATAATGTTGCTGCATTGCTAGATTCAAGCACTGAGAGGGCTGATACAGAAAGCAGTCAACAGCTTCCAAAAGTTAACAATATTGATATCTGGAAACATGCTGGTTTGTCAGTGAACCATAAAGGAACTGAAATTCCTGGAAAGTACCAACCTCATATGGTTAAGAATGATCAACCTTTTGAGTCATCAGGAAATAGTAGTTTAGCAAATGGGGCAGTTGAAACTCACAAAATGCAGGGCTCAAATACAGATGAAAACGCAACCAATAGCTTCCCCAGTACAACCCACCAGGCTTCCACTTTTGGTGTGAGGGAAAATGCATGGTTAGGTGCAAATGATTCTTTTTCTTTGCCTGGAGGAAAACAAAAGTCATCCATTAATATAGGTCAAAAGCCATCTGGAATTCGTAAATTTCAGTATCATCCCATGGGGGATCTGGATATTGACATGGAACCTTCATATGAAACAAAACATGTTGCAAATTCACAGGTCACGCCTCAGCAGTTTTCTCAAAGGTTAAATGGTCTTGACCAAGGGTATATTGGGCAGCCAAACTTTCCTAGTCATGTAGCTAGAGATTCTGTTGAAATTGAGAAGGTAATTTGGAGATTGCTACTTGAGTTCCATTCCAGATTTTTCCTGCTGTACTCTTAGAAAATTTTCTCGGTCATGCTGTGTGACTTCTCCATGGAATGAAAACAAGCCAAATACTATTTAATAATATCTCTTTCAACTCTTATTTACAGGGTCATTTATGTGGCTTTCAAGGAGAAACAAAAGGCTCAGATGAGATTCCTCCAAAAAGCATTCGTCCAGATTCTGCACCTGGCTTGTCTACTCCCTTTGACAGATTTGTTTGCTCACCAAATAAAACCATTTCAAGGTAGTTGAATGTTTTGGATTCTGTTATTGTCTTTTATTGTTATTTTGAAATTTGTTGATCAATATATTTTGTCGCTGTTAAGCTGTTTATCTTGATGGTGAAAAACTCATTGAGCATTTGTGGTACGATCGCTTCACTATCCAATTGTATGGTGTCCTTTTCATGCTAGCAGTCAAATGTGTTGTCGATTCACTTTTTGATCATTGACGTGACTGGTACATGGTTTGTGTTCAAATTTATAGCAGTCAGAATATGCTAGAGCTTCTCCACAAGGTGGACCAATCAAGGGAACAGGGAAATGAAATGCACTTTAGTTCTCTGGACTGCAACCAGTCTACTGAGATGCCTGAAGCTGAAACTCTTGATGCATCTTTTCACTTTCAGAAGAATCAATCTTCTGCTTCTCAAACTTTTGGTTTACAACTTGGGCCTCCCTCCCAACAGTTGCTCATCCCAGAGCACGCCCTTCCTTCTCAGAACCCCTCAAATGCGATGAATTCTACATGGTTGGCTCCTACACCCTCTTTTCAGTCTTTAATTCCACATGAAACTTCTCATGGACATTTGAGGAATGCTATTTGCAGCACCTCGACACATGCTGGCAGTGGTGCTCAGAGAAAGTTTCCTGCTGTCTTTTCCCCTGGTTTCCCTTACTCAAGAAGTCATCCTTCCACTCAGCACAGGACTGATACAGGTGGACAAGCAACAACCAGTGAATCTGTTAATGAATCTTTTGATCGATTTTCTTCTCAACCAAAACAGACGGAGGAGTCTTCTAAGAGAGGTCAAACTAATCAATCTACAATACCATTGGTGCTTGGCACATCTAGGCATACTTCAAATAATGATAATGCCTCCTCTTCTGAGATGTCCCAGCCGAGTAGCAACAACCAAAATCATGCAAGAGATTCTGCTCAACAATTCCCGGTGCTGGAAGCTGCACCAGCTCCAGCTTCTCAGCGCAATGCTTTATCACAAGACGCCATTTCTTCAAAAACATCACCTACTATGTGGACCAGTGTTCCAACTCAGCTACGTCCATTTGGCTCTCAGCCGTTTCAGGCTCTGTCCAACATGTTTAAACCCAATCTTCAATCACATAACAGTTCAGGCACATCTTTCTCTCAACCACAGAAGCCAGAAGATCAAATTATGCAAACTGGAGGAAGCAGTCAAGCTGAACCTGGTGTCTGTTCGATGAATTCACATGGTTTTGTTGAGAAAGAGCAACTGCCAAAAGGAGACCACTTGCGGCAAGCTTCACCTGAGAATGATCGGGCCCAGAAGACAGTGAGTGCTTCACATGATAAAGACTCTATTGTGAGTCATCTTGCTGAAACATCTCTTTCAAACCTGGCCAGTACTCGGAAACAAATTGAAGCTTTTGGCCGATCTTTAAAACCCAACAATACTTTGCATCAAAATTACTCCCTACTGCATCAAATGCAGGGCATGGAAAATGCAGGGCTCAATCATGGTAATAGAAGTTTGAATAGATTCAAAAGTCCTGATGGTTCTGTGGATCCTCAGCTGGTAGCTACTCAGGGAGATCAGCAGTTTTATGGATTCAATAATATGGTCAGAGATGCATCAGCAAATCATGCTTCAATACCTCCTGGAGATTCCAAAATGCTAAGCTTTTCAGGAAAAACAGCTGATACTAATGACACAAATTTACCCTCAAAGGAAGTGCTTGCATTTAGTCGGAATGATTCCCAGAGTTCCGCTAATAGCAACGGTGAAGTTTCTGTCAGAGATGAACATTCCCAGATTAGTCCCCAGATGGCTCCATCATGGTTTGATCAGTATGGTACCTTTAAAAATGGACAGATATTACGAATGCATGATGCTCAAAGAACTGTCACCGTGAAGACTTCAGAACTGCCTTTCACCACTGGAAGACCTGATGATCCATTGCATGCTCATAGTTTGATTGAGCAAGGAAATGCTGCTGTTGCTAGCCATTTTGGTATAGTCCAAAAGAGTTCAACCCGCCCATCAATAGCTTGTGAGAATTTTTCTTCCCCTCAGTCATTGCAGCCTGATTCTGCTGATGTGAGTCTGGTGGTTATGAGACCAAAGAAACGTAAAAGTTCCATATCTGAGCTTCTAACATGGCATAAGGAAGTGATGCATTGTCCTCAAAGGCTTCAGAATATCAGGTGGCTGGCATAAACTGTGCATTTACTGAGTGCCTTTGTTTCTTTTTGATGAAACTGATGCATCGTTTTAGTTATCTTTTTTCCCCTTTGCAGAAGTTCATTGATACGTTTCCCTTGATTTTATTTGCTGGAAGTGTTTGATTCGTTTTATACTTGTTTTTCCTAGTGATTATAACATATGTGGACTTTGTTACTTGCAGTGTAGCTGAAGTGGACTGGGCACAGGCAACAAATAGATTGACAGAGAAGGTTTGCTCATGGCTAAAGGAGCTTTACAAGCTATATTCATTTTTTTTTTTTTTTTTTGTAGTTGTCTTTCAGTTACCTCATTTTCAAATGGATTAATTTATGATAACAGGTTGAAGATGAAGTTGAAATGGTAGACAATGGTCTGCCAGTTCTTAGATCAAAGAGGAGGCTTATATTGACCACACAGCTTATGCAGATGCTCCTTCACCCTCCCATGACATCAATTCTCTCTGCAGATGCTGTTTTGCATTATGAGAATGCTGCATACTCTGTTGCCAGATCAACACTTGGAGATGCATGCAGCTCACTCTCTTGTACTGGAAGGGATACTCCTGCGCCTTCCAACAGTGGAGACCAGTAAGAATTTCTTCAATATTATCTAAGGTTTTTATAGCATGCTTTTAGGGGCTGTTATTGCTACTAAGGTAAATTTCTTGGGCTTGCAACCGTAAGGGTGCAGCTTGAGTCTTATGAGCAGTCGTTTCATTAAAATAATGCTAGTGGGTAGGGCTGTCTCTAAATTCTCCATTAAGGACCTCGATTTTGGTGGTCAATAAGTATGCACTGGGCCTTTTGTTTTCTCATTACGCTTTTTACTGTTAGTAAGATTGATAGTTTTTGCTGGGAAATTTTCTTTGATCTGTATGATAACAAGAAACTTTTCTCTTCTAAGCCTGCCGGAGAAGATAAAATCATCTGAGAAGATTAGTGATCAATACTTCTCAAAAGTCATGGAAGACCTTATCTGTAGAACATGGAAGCTGGAGAGTGATTTGTTGAGGTAAACTTTGGTGTCATTAACAGTAATCTCATTTTTGCTTGCCTTTGAATTCTGTTCTGCTTTATAATATTGGTGTCTGGTATATTAAGATACCCTTCCTCTGTATGTCTACTTATCTGATTCAAACATTTTTGGTGTCTCTCTAATTGTCAAGTATTTTCTCTTTCTATAGACTTAATATGCTTTGAATTATGACATAGGAATCATGTGTAAATCTGAACAAAATTCAAAGAGGTTTTGCTCAATCAGTCTAGAATGTTGCGTCTTGAAAAAAGTTTCAGTGCGCATTGGTCATTAGAACGTGAACAATTGAGTATGCTTGAACTTGATTGTGCAGATGTAGATTTAGCTTGCTTAATGTTGGGTTTTATGCGGGCATGATTGCTGTTTTTTTCACCTGTGTTTCTTTTCTTTCTTTCTTCTTTGGTATCTCCCTTAGCAGGAATTTCTAAGGGTACAGAGATATGCTCATTAGTTTTATTATTTGCCCACCAATCATGCAGATTGGATAAAAGAGCATCAGTTTCAGACCTGAGAGTGGAATGCCAAGATCTAGAGAGGTTTTCTGTTATCAATCGATTTGCGAAGTTCCATGGCCGGGTTCAAGGTGATGGGGCCGAGAGCTCATCATCCTCGGATGCATCTGTAAATGCCCAGAAATCCTGTCTTCAGAGATATGCCACTGCTCTACCCATGCCTAGGAATCTTCCTGACAGGGTACAATGTCTTTCGCTATGATAATTGATTCTCTCTTCTTGGTCAATTTCTCCACGTCCTGTGTTTTTTGATCAATTTTCGCCTAAGCTATATACTGGCCCTTACTCACCATAGACCACACACTGGGGATGGAGGAGGTTGGATGCTAGATTGCCTCCTTAAATAAAACGGAGGCTGTTAGATCTTTTGATGTAGGCCATTGATGTCATTCTTGAGAAATATAATCTGGACTTGTAAATTGAATGTCTAGAGAGAAATTGGGGTTCCCCATAATTTTTTCCAGTAAATGGGGAGAACAGACGTGCAGTCTGATTTAGCAATGGTGTTTACACGTTTAAAAAATTTAGTCGTGCTCTTGCTTAAATCTTTTGGTAATGGGTTTCTATCCATGAAATAAGGATTGTTTGGGAAAGAGGTGGTAAATGAACGCTGTGGTGCTAATGATGTCACTAGTCGTTTTCCCAGATATTCTGTACAAATTGGTTTAGTTTCACCAGGATTGGGCATGCAATTTTTTGCCCAGGAGCTCCCGTAACATGCAATGGTGCCGAGGTCAGTTTCGTGGACAGTTGCAATTCTCCACAATTGTATTCCTGACAAATGCCTATGTTATTATTTAATTTTTGGCCTCTCTGGTGGATGTACTTCTAGGAATAATGCTCTTTTGGGGATCTTATTCCCTCTAATCTTGCTCGGACTTGTTAAAAGATTTTCTCATGCTCCCTCATGTACAGCAGACATGGGCACTCAATGGAGATTCATGATAATGGCACATGAATGCATCATCTTGTTAGTGTTTCTTTTAATTTGAGAATTTGTTTAATTCTTTGTCATGTTTCTGTTTATTTTTATCCACTCGTTAAATTCAGAAGTTGAAGGTCGAAATAACATCTCATATTTTTTAGTACCACACACTAGTTATTTTTGAGATTTGGTTTCTTCAATGTGAAACATCTGGTGGAAAGCACTAAAATTTCTTGCATGTCAAGGGATTTGGTTGTGCATTCTAAATGCAATTGCACCTGCTTTACTACCATGTGAGAAAAAATATAGAAGAGAGGGACAAGGAAACGAGGTCCTGAAAGAATTGGTAAGTAGTGGACTAAATATTCAGCTTGCTAAGTGGGTTTAGTTCTCTATAGAGAATGTTGGATCAATTTAGAGATTGTTCCTTGATTAGAAGGGCTGCACCTGCTTTACTGGCAGGCTCATTGCTGTTTTTCTAAAGTGCCTATTATATGAGTGGGTTTTTTTTTTTAATGTAATAATTTCTCAAGTAAAAAGAACGGATCTGGTGTGGTGGCAGGCTCTTCGTTTCTTTTCTTTTTTCCTTTCAGAACTTAATCTCCAATTGCGTAAATTACTCTTGTTGGATTTGTGGCATCTGGGTTTGGTCCTGTCTTCTTCATTTTCAGTAGTTTTGATATTAAAGGAGGCTCACTGCTTGTAAAAAGAAAACGGAAGGAAAAGGATTATGGCTGGACATAACAGCAAACAAGTTTATATGTTGGCCTTTTGGGTTGTTTTAACTAATGGCTAGGTAAATTTCTTTTCTAAAATAAATTTTTATTTATTTATTATTTGATATTGAATTAATAAAATTTTGTATTTTCTGTCATATAATAAATTAATTTGAATTAGTAGAGTTTATAGCTGAAGTCATTGGTGTGACAAGTTGATGAAGGTTAACCTGATTTTTTTTTGGTTAAACTCATCTAGTTAACAAGATAATTTTTATAAAATTTAAATTCGATAAGGAATTAAGTTGACATGTTTTAAAATTGAATTGTTAAATCAGGTTTGATAACAATGACAAGTAATTTTCTATTATCCAAATATGTTTTTACATTAATTTTTTTTATTAAACTAATTTGATTTTATTTTTCTTTGGAGAAGGGAAAGTAATTCATGTTTTTGTTATTCATTCTCTTGATGAAAATGATTGTTTTGTTGGTTATTCTTTTACGATTGAGGTAGCAGTTTGTTAGTATAACAAATTGGTTGCATGTTATCCCAATCGATAGAAATGAAGAAGAAACCAGGGGTAGCAATTTGTAATTCAAATCCGACTCTCTCTTGAGACATTAGAAGTATTGATAAAATAATAAATTGGTTGCATGTTATCCCAATCGATAGAAACGAAGCAGAAACCAGGGGTAGCAATTTGTAATTCAAATCCACTCTCTCTTGAGACATTAGAAGTATTGATAAAATAATAAATTGGTTGCATGTTATCCCAATCGATAGAAACGAAGCAGAAACCAGGGGTAGCAATTTGTAATTCAAATCCACTCTCTCTTGAGACATTAGAAGTATTGATAAAATGTAATTCGTGTTGCACCCTTGGTTCCTAAAGTTTATTTGCTATATATGTTAATAATTGCTTTTTAAAATATTTTTTTTATAAATAAATTATTTTTTTAAATATCAATATTTCAAAATAATCTAGTAAAAAAAAAGTAAATGATAATAATAATAATATATATAATAATAAAATAAATTTATAACTAGTTGAAGCAAAATATTTTTATTTTCAATCCATTCATCATAAGTAAATAAAGATAACAACTTGGATGGACAAATATAGAGAACAAAGAAGTAAATCCCATTCATTAGGACATTAATGGCCTAAGAACCTCCATGCAAATAAAAACAATTAACAAATATAAAGCAAAGTTAGCATATGGAAATATCATATAAACAATGAGCAAATGATCATATAATGGATGTAAAGTGTAGTTATATTTAAGATTATTATGAAGCAACATTTCAACTCATGCATTTACATGCATTTTGAATCTACAAGTGATAACCTTACTTTTAAAGAGTCTGAAAAACTCTTATGACCCTTTTTTCTTAGAACATGCCTGAAGAAATGAGCTTGCTCTAAGTGGGGACTTAGCAGTGTGCCTTAGCACATTGGAATTGGTGCTAGCTAGATCCAGACGTGTTAGGCTTGACAGTATGCTAAGCTTTAGAAGTGCTAGGTTTGACGCCAGCCAGGCCCAAACACTTTTGGGCTTGGTAGTGTGACATGCTCTACACTTGGACTTAGCAATCTACCAAGTTTAAAATAATATGGGTTTAACAAATCTGCTGGACCCAAGACACTTGAGGTTAACATTCCTTCAAGTCCAAGGCACTTGGACTTTGCAATTAATGAAGTTCAAGATAACATAGGTCTCACAAATATACCAGACTCAAGCATTTGGACTTGGTAGTTAGCCAAGTCGGGGGTAATGACCCTTTTTCCTTGGGCAAGCCCAAAGGAATGACCATCCTCCCTTAGCGTGTATAAGGGAATGATCATCCTCTCTCGGCACGTCCAGAGGAATGACCAATCTCTATTGAGTCTAATCTCAGGAAGAACTCAACCTCCATGGGGTTAACTACATTTAACATTTTAAACCGTAATCTCCTTGCACCTTTGAGGTGTATAAAAGTCCTCTAAGTACCCATCATATTTTTATTAGACATTAATATGGATGTAAGAGATTTTATCCCTCATTAAATTCTATCAGAGAGAGATTACACTCCAAACCATTCTATTCATAAAAGAACAAGACTCATGAACTATAAATACACTATGAGACCTTTAGAACAAAGGTTCACAATCTTCATTCTTTACTACATATATATTTTTAGAGTATCTTTTACTAAAATATTATTATATTTTCTTTTTTTGAAAAGGTACTTATTTAAGCATTGAAGAGTCCTCACCTCTATGAAAAAAACCTTTTACAAGTACTAGCCATAAGCCATCTTGATCTACTAAGCAAGAAGTATAAGCTATTAGTAGGGAGAATATATAAGATTGCTAAGACCAATTATTTAACCGATTATCCAACCTAGGAGCCCTATTCCTAGGTTAGTTCCATTTTTAACACTTTTTCTTAGTAAGAGCTTTAACAACTCACTAGTCAGGTATAACATCTCACCTAGGTCATGTTGACAACTCAAGGGAAAAATCAAACCTTGCAATCTAAGCAAGTCTTAACACCCTCAACAACACATAATGCCTTAACACCAGGGCTACCAACTGCATATCTCACGCCATTGTCACACCCATGCACAAAGCAAGCACTCCAAATATATTCCATTTAATTAATATGGGATGGATACCAGACACTGTAATCGCCATTCTATACCAAATCCTTCAAGCTCCTAGGAGCCTAATAGACAAAGAGTTAGGAGACAATTTGTGCATGAGCATGCTCAAAGGAATAAGGATACTGATTGTCATAACTCATTTTTGAGCCCCTCATAAAAAAAATACAAAAAAATCAAAAAAATATTATCAAAAAATATAAACAGTGAAAAATGATGCTAGTGCGCCGTAAAAATGATTAAAAATTGGTTGAGAAGGTTAAAAAATACAAAGATTAAAATTTGACAGTATTTTATTGACTGATGAATGACACAACTAAAAGATTTATGTCTTCTCCTAAGTACAGGAGTGTCGAAGTAATAAATAACTCGGTAAGGGGTCGAACCACAAGGAGGTTAATTATATAAATTATAGATAACAACAACAACAACAACAATAAAGAAAAAAAAGTTGATGAGAACTTTGAGATGAAAGATTAATGTAATGATTAAACAATGATAACAACAAATGCCAAGGTTAGAGGATTTACTAATGATATATCAAACAAGTATAGTATAAACTCTTATTATTTAACTCAAAATTATACACAAAGGAGGTTCCAATCAGATTATAATTTGTTAACATGATTATATTAGTTATCTTATTCAATTAATACTAACACTTGTAAATCTCATCAGACATTCATGATTATAACTTATGTTAACAACAAATCAAGTTCCTTTCATAGCTCAGGTGTCGGTTATACCATACATTATG